CACCACATAAGCAAAAAGAAAAAAGCCGGAAGTGGTGCTGTGGCTCAAGTGGTAGAGCGCTAGCCTTGAGCTGAAGAGCTGAGGGACAGCGCCCAGGCCCGGCCCCACGACTGGGCCCAAAAACAAAACAAAAAACAATTTCTGGCACCAGTGGCTCATGCTTGTAATCCTAGCTACTCAAGAGGCTGAGATCTGAGGATTGTGGTTCAAAGCCACCCTGGGCAAGAGAGTCCATGAGACTCTTATCTCCAATTAACCACCAGTAAACCGGAAGTGGCGCTGTGGCTCAAGTGGTAGAGTGCTCACCTTGAGCTGAAGAGTGCCCACAACCAACAAAATAAATAAATGAAAAGAAAACTACCAAGGGAGAATAACTCCTAACTGTTCTCACCTTGTCTGGTGTTAATTCTTTCATGAATATGGACCTGGCAAATGGTCTAAGCAAGAAAAATGGTGGCTTCACCTTCCTTTCTGTGCTCTGGTTATAGGTGAAAACTTATGAAATGGAAGATGTGGAGAGTTTGAGGAAGACTGTGCAGGACTTGCTTGCCAAGCTGCAGGAGGCTGAGCGACAACACCAGTCAGACCGTGTGGCTTTTGAGGTGAGATTTGAAATTTGGGGAGAAGGTGCCCCAAGGGATGGATTACTGAATGCAGGAACCCCGTGACTTTCTCCACATGGACTTCATGTTTTCCTGATTGGGTGCCACCAGCTGGAAGGCAACTCTTTGAGGCCTGGGATATTACAGTATTTGCTATCCAAGTCTGGCCTGTATTTCAAAGATCAGATCTTCATTCTCTTCTGTCTTGAAGTTGAGCAGTAGTACTGGTCTGAGACAGGTAATTGAGAACTCCTTTCTCTGTGTACCATGATAAGAATCACCGGGTTCCAAGGCTTCATCAGCAAGAACTAGTGCTGTCATGTTCACCGCTGAATCTCCAGTGCTGGCACTGCACATGATGTAAGGTGGGTTTTTTTTTTTTAAATAAATGCGGACTGAGTGAGTGGGTAAGTCTATGTTGTGGTAGAAAGAGATGTACCTGCCAGGCACTGGTGGATCACACCTGTAATCCTAGCTACTCAGGAGGCTGAGATCTGAGGATCATGGTTTGAAATCAGCCTAGGCAGGAAAGTCCATGAGAGTCTTATCTCTAATAAACAACTCAGAAAAGGCCGGAAGTAACACTGTGGGTCAAGTGGTAGAATGCTAGCCTTGAGCAAAAGAAGCTCAGGGACAGTACCCAGGCCGTGATTTCAAGCCCTAGGACCAATCCCTACCTCACGCCATCCCACCCCCCAAAAAAAGAGGAAAAAAAGAAAAAAAAAAGTGAGGTCTTCTGACTTTCCAGAAAATTCTTTGCATATAATATGGGCAGTATTTAAGTATAACACTGGGTAGTTTTCTACTCTATGTATGCTTAGCCATCTGTTATCTCTTCTTGTTCATCCATAAATGAAGTATTTGTATATTATACATATTTTATGATAGAATTAGATTTTGCTTAGGTATAGCTGGAGGCTGGTGGAAAGAGGAAAGCCAGCCTGAACTCTGCTTTTGTCATGGAAATAAAGGATTTTTGAGAAAAGGATTGAGAATGAGGAAGAAGGCCACTAAGAATGATAAATTGGTTGGGTACTGGTGGTGCATGCCTGTAATCCTAGCTACTCAGGAGACTGAGATCTGAGGATCATGGTTTGAAGCCAGCCCAGGCAGGCTGACTTTGAATTAACCACCAGAAACAGAAGTGGTATGGGGCTCAGTGTGGTAGAGTGCTATGCTTGAGCAAAAGAGCTCAGGGACAGAGTCCAGGCCCTGAGTATAAGTCCCACAACTGACAAGAATAAGTAACTGAGCAGGAAATTTAACCTCCCTTAGAATTAATTTCAAATTTTGCAAAAAGGAGTCATGAACTTTACATTGGAATAGTGTAAGGTAATATATGAGAGAACTTTATTATTCAGAAGTGTTTTGGGAACATTAGACATTTTTTAAATGATCAATTTAGTAAGCAGATTATCCTATTGTAAATAGTTACTAGTACCAAGACTAATTTGAGGAGTTAAAGCAGACGCCAGGCATCGGTGGCTCACACCTGTAATCCTAGCAACTCAGAACTTTGTGATTTGAGGATCACGGTTCAAAGCCAGCCTGGGCAGGAAAGTTCGTGAGACTCTTTTTTTTTTTTTTTGGCGGTTGTGGGGCTTGAACTCTGGGCCTGGGCGCTGTCCTTCAGCTCTTCAACTCAAGGCGAGCGCTCTACCACTTGAGCTACAGCGCCACTTCCGGTTTTCTGGTGGTTTATTGGATATAGGAGTCTCACGGTCTCTCCTGCCCGGGCTGGCTTTGAACTGCGATCCTCAGCTCTCAACCTCCTGAGTAGCTAGGATTACAGGCGTGAGCCACCAGCGCCCGGCTGGCAGTGGCGCTGTGGCTCACGTGGTAGAACGCTTGCCTTGAACTGAAGAACTCAAGGACAGCGCCCAGGCCCAGAGTTCAAGCCCCATGACTGACCAAAAAAAAAAAGGCAGCCATGTAGGAAAGGAGCTAGTGGCATCTGTTTCAGGTATCACAGTAAGGATAATTTGGTTAGTTGTGTGTCATTTTGATGACCAGCTATTTCTTTACCACCTCTGAAAAAAAAAATAGAGGAGAAAGGGGAAGAAAGGAGAAAATAGAAGAGAAATGTTGAAATTGTACATTTTGGAAAGCAATTTCTTTAGTGAGACTTCATGCAGGTTATCTTAATTCCAGAAATACTTGTTGGGTTTGACCCTCGAGGTCTGTTGCTCCTAAGCCAAGGTGCCTGAATATGAGCAAGGCCAGAAAGCTCCTGATAGCTGCATTTAGAAGGGTCTATTTTTATTTATTTATTTATTTTGGCCAGTCGTGGGTCTCCCCCCACCCCACCCCCACCCCTGGTTGTGGGGCCTGAACTCTGGGCCTGGGCGCTGTCCCTCAGCTCTTCAGCTCAAGGCTAGCGCTCTACCACTTGAGCCACAGCACCACTTCCGGCTTTTTTCTTTTTGTTATGTGGTGCTGAGGAATCAAACCCAGGGCCTCGAGCATGCAAGGCAAGCGCTCTACTACTGAGCCACCTTCCCAGCCCTGAAGGGACTATTCTTTAACCCCTAGGTGCTTAACACCTATTTACAATGGAACATGCTCCTTGAGTATTTCCACTATCAAGGTAGGTGGCACACATTCTTGTAGTTAAGAGTTCTTTTGAGCTGGCTAGAGTTACAGGAACAGATGTGGAAAGGGAGTCTTTTATGATTCTTTGTGGGAGCTGGTTTGGTTTGAATGTGGCCCTATTCACACTGTGGTCCGGGCACACCTGAGCCTGAGTGGGATGTTCTTGTACTGAGATAAGAGGCCTTTGTTTTTAAGTTTCTGCTGGTGAGGCTGTTTTAGGCTAACAGGGTTTTGTGAGAGTTTCTCAACCTCTCCCATTGAATTGAATTTTTTGATCTACTTTGCTGAACCTGGGGGTAGGAAGGACACGGTCATCAATTACCATGAAAAGAACCTACCATTAAGCTTGGGTTTCTCGTTCTACTGGCTGTTCTCTCTCATGGTTTGTGGAGAACTTGCGATGAGCTAGGCTGGTTTGTAGTGTGGACGTGTCCTGATTCCAACCTGATTCTAACTCTGGGAGGAGCCAAACTAGCAGCTGGAAGTGTTTTTCCAGGGCTGCCTAGGCCTTCCAACAGGCCCATGGATTCTCTTTCTTTTTTTTTCTTTTCTTTTTCTTTTTTTTTCTTTTCTTTTTCTTTTTTTTTGTCAGTCGTGGGGCCTGAACTCTGGGCCTGGGCACTGTCCCTCAGCTCTTCAGCTCAAGGCTAGCGCTCTACCACTTGAACTACAGTACCACTTCCAGCTTTTTCTATTTATGTAGTCTTGAGAATCAAACCCAGGGCCTTATGCATGTAACTCAAGCACTCTACAGCTGAACCACCTTCCCAGCCCCCATAGATTCTCTTTTATCAAATGAGAAACCACTGGAGTAACTGGGAAGCAATCAACCAGATTATAGAGTAACTAGGGTGTAATATTGGCCTTGTCAGTTAACTGACCTCAGTCAGTTAACCTTTACTTGCAAACAGGAGGGGATTAGACTAAACCATACATGTTCCATTTCTGACCTTTTTTTTTTTTTTTGTCGGTCATGGGGCTTGAACTCTGGGCCTAGACTCTGTCCCTTAGCTCCCTACCACTTGAGCCACAGCACCACTTCCAGTTTTCTGGTGGTTTATTAGAGATAAGAGTCTCATGGACTTTCCTGTTTGGGCTGGCTTTGAACCGGGATCCTCAGATCTCAGCCTCCTGAGTAGCTAGGATTACAGGTGTGAGCCATTGGTGCCCAGCCATTTCTGACCTTATTGAGTAGCCACTGCATGTGAAGTCATTACTGTGTGCACCCCTGGAAATGCAATGGTGATCAAGGCTGGTCCATCCCATCATGAAGCCAATAGTCTACTCAAGTATGTCCAAAAGCCTTGGCAAAATTGGCCTAGTGCTATGAGAGAAGGACTGTATGTCCCCTGTGGGCCTCCCCAGGCTCTGAAGACTCCTTAATAGAAAGGATGTCTTAAGTGAGAGTTAGTAGATAAGTAGGATTTGGAAAGACTTAGGAAGAAAAAAGCTCTTACTTCACTTTCTCATTCTGAAATTCTTCTGTCTTTTCCAAACTGATTTCTTACCTGATAAGTGAACATTTCTTCCTGGTGCTCAATAGCTCTTTCAGATGCTGTGTTGTCCTTCATGTGAGCATGAAGAAGAGTTGGGGATTTCTTCCCCTGTATTTTTTTTAATGGTACTGGAGATTGAACCCAGGCCCTGAAGCCCTGGCTTTTGAGTTAAGTAGGAAAGCCACAATATTGGATGGTACTGAAGGATATATGGGTATATTGAAGTCCCATCTGAAAACAGGTACTTGGGAATTCCAAGTGCCACTTTAAAGAGCATCTCACTGAACCCTGTGTGCCAGTTAATATTGGAGATAATTAATCTTCAAAGGGCTAGTTAGTCTCCAGGGTCGGACTGACCAGGGATGGGAAGGGGCTGTGTGTTCATCATAGATGCCTCGTTTCTCCCATTTTGAGTCCAGAGCCACTTTATCCATGTTTGCCTCCCTCATATCCCCATTATACAATGCTTATCCTGTGTTTATAGGTCACACTCAGCCGGTACCAGCGAGAGGCAGAGCAGAGTCATGTGGCCCTTCAGAGAGAGGAGGATAGAGTGGAACAGAAAGAGGCAGAAGTTGGAGAACTGCAGAGACGCTTGCTAGGGATGGAGATGGTAATGGCTCACGTCTCTTGTTTCCATCTCTAGACCCCAAGGCTGGAAGAGGCTCAAGGATTGATTGAGAGGGTTGCTAAGGCCCTCCTTTTCAAAAAAAAAAAAAGCAGCTCCCCCAAAACCACATGAACAGCTTTGTCACATCCCTTTGAGTGTCATTTAGCTTTTAAAGACTGGGAAGGCCTTTTCTCTCATCCAGCTTCAGCCTCCCTTTGTCTAGAATGGAACCCATGTCCACTTTAGTTCCATGTTTATACAGATGGCTCTTCGGGGTTTTTGAAGCCTGTTTTTTAGTAGCCACTCAACTTGGTTCCTCAAAGATTGGCCGCCAGAGGTGGCTGGTGGTCTTGCATAATGCAAGGTCAAGTTCTCCCTCCGGGCAGCTGGGTGAGGCTGGGAAGTTTCTGTGTGCTGAGGGTGGGAAGGGCTATACCTAAAAGGGGAGGACACCCATCAAACCAGCTTGGCCTGCTGCTCTTTGGCAATTGTCCCAGGCTCTCCCAGCCCTAGTAGCCATCTTACCCCAAACACAAAAACAATTACCTTCTGCTCATGCTAGATGTCTTTCTCTTTGGCCCACCTAGGAGCATCAGTTCTTGCTGGCGAAAGTCAGGGAAGGAGAGATAGCCCTAGAGGAACTTCGGAGCAAGAACGCTGACTGCCAAGCAGAACAAGAAAAGTAAGGGCCTTTGGGGTGCAGGGAGCAGAGGGCGAGCTGTGCAGCCTACAGCTCCCACATTGGCCAGGCCAGGGAGGAAACACTGCTGACGTCAGATCTTCCAACTCTGACTCATAACATGCTTGCTCTGGGTGGAGACCTGCCTTGGGACATATTGTTGGGAAGGCTGCTGTCTTGGGGAGTTTGTTTTCTATGGAGCAATAACCTAGGAGAAAAGATATTTATGGTTTTACAGCCAAGGTCAAGGGAGAGCTGGTAAAAACTTCTCACCTCTTGTTCCTCAAGTGAACTATAAGCTATTGGAGGGACGGTCATCTTCTGTCTAGTCGTGCTGATGAAAAAGATACGATGAGTAGTTTCTTAAGGACTTCCAGTTACTCAGAACAGTTCAGAGAGAAGCTGACAACCACTTTTCCTCAAGGGATCAGCGGGATCTTTTCTATCTCTAGTGTTAAAAGGTTTTGTAGATTCCCTTTTTTTAGAGAAAAGGGGGCTGGGAAGTTGGCTCAGTGGTAGAGTGCTTGCCTTGCATGCATGAGGCCCTGGGTTTGATTCCTCAGCACCATATATGCAGAAAAAGCTGGAAGTAGAGCTGTGGCTCAAGTAGTAGAGTGCTAGCCTTGAGCTGAATTGCTGAGGGACAGCGCCCAGGCCCAGAGTCCAGGCCCCACGACCGACCAAAAAAAAAAAAAAGAAGAGAAAAGGAACTGCTTCAGATCAATAGAATCATCTACACAGCAAAGATTGTGCCTTCTGCCTCTTCAAAAAGTTGGAAATTCTGCTATTGGAAACTAATAAATAAAATCTTCCCACATATATATAGTGATATGTACTTTCTGAGGCAGAAGAATTACAAGTTCAAGGATTTATACCTATTTATCTGATTCATAACATCAATATGGAGGGTCTAATTGCCATTATAAGCTGGACCTTTTGGGGTTTTTTTCAACAGACATTACCTGAAGGGCCTTTAAAACTTTTTTTTTTTAAGTCACAAACACCTTTTATTTTATTTATTTATTTATTTTTGTTGGTCGTGGGGCTTGAACTCTGGGCCTGGGCGCTGTCCCTCAGCTCTTCAGCTCAAGGCGAGCGCTCTACCA